TTTTTGTTACCAGACTAGCACGGCCTGTTTGTTGTGCCCCCCACCCCCTCCTCCTTCGGGAGATTAACCTGTCTAGGTGTGGCCGAGTATGCAGGTAGCCATCAAGCTTTATTGTGCAGTAAACAGCAACATCATCTAAAGAATGTGTTCTGCTTCATAGATCATGACCAGAAACCGAACAATGTTCATCTGAAGCTCTCCTGGTTTAAGCTTTCTTATCAGACATTCATCATTATTCATTCATTCCACAACCGGTGCCCCAGAGAGATATTTCCTTCTTTTCTGTTCCTAAGGACTTTGCAATTTGTTATATTTTATTGAACGAATTGTGATCTAAATGGCCAAATAAAGTTCCAAACTGTTCAACTGTGCGTCAGGCCTGAACAGGGACATGTGGGCTGGGGTGTAACCTCTGGGTGATCACCCTGTCATTAAGATGAATTTCTTCTCACTCTTACAAAAACACAACTTAGTTTCCATATAACAACCAAAATTCACGTTCAACAATCAACGTTTGCAGATTACTGATTCTTCACTGACGAAATGCCCTTTTAGAAAACTGCAGCAGGTTTCTTTTTTTAGCGGTTTAAGTGCAGCCTGATTACACACCTACACATAATGGGGGTGGCGAGGTCAGTGTAATCCCTCAATTTTAGATTGAGGGATTAGAGTTTGTTTACGAGGAAGTTGCAAAAAGTTGAAGGGCAGCCTTTTGAATACTCCATTGTTTCCTACGCGTTTTACATGCGTTTCAAAAAAGCAGAAACCTTAGTTTAAAAGTGGCCATGGTGGGGACATGAGAGCGGCCCTGTGTTTGTTTGACCGCACAGTGTTTACCAGCAGACTAACACACAGTTACGGGACTCGACTGTAAACCTCCAATTTGAAGTGCACCCACCCAAAAACACCGCTTCAGAACACACACAGTGACACACGTGGAAACACTGAGCAGAAAAAAAAGCCATCAACTGGTTTCATACAAATGAAATGGCAGACTAAAAATAACATTAAGAGGTTTGTATATTTCTTTAAATGACTCTGCTGAGGACATAGAAGACAAAGAAGGAGAGTTCAAGCTTCAGAATGAGCCTCCATGGGTGCTGGCAGCCGGCCCAAACATTAAGGTACTTACTCCCCGGCGTTGCAGATTTACAATTCAGAGGGAAATGCAATTTACTAATCCTCCTAACTGGGTAAAATTGACAAAAAAGTGAGCTTGTGAACACTGTCACAATTGGAGCGAGGCGGCCGGAGCAAAGAGTGGATTCTGTGACATTCAGATCCCTCTTTGACCCCGAAATGCCACTTTTGAGAGATACTGACCGGAATGACATTTCTCTCAAAGAGAAAACACCAATATCCATAACGTCCCCAGGGGGCTCACCCCACTGAGGGTTTTTGGGTTGCTCATTGGGTCTGAAAGCATTTCGACCAACCACTATTTGGAGCGACGATCAGCGTCACAACTTCTGCCGCTTGCGAGCTGCTGGAGACAACGGAGGATTCTCCCTCTTGCCTCCACCACTTGGACCGCATCTGCACTCCCGCCGAAGCAAACTCTTTTTCTTCCTCCCCGTGTCGGGCAAAAAGAAAACAGGACACCCCTCCGCCCGTTAGTGGGAGAAAATAAAAAAAGCCCCATTCCACTGGCCTATAATGAGCCACCAAAGGAATGTTTCTCCCCCCCGGTTTGCTCTCCCACTGACACCAATGTCAGAACGGATAGAAGGACAGAGGAGCGTGGGGGTAAGGGGGGGGTTTAGAGGAGTTACATTCCTCTCTGACTAGTTCCTTGTTTAGTTTACAAGCTGATTCTGGATGGCCATCAGCTGAGACGGAGGGCTTTCCCACAGCTGACACGGGATCATCTGGCAACACGGGCGGGGGGAACCAAAGGTTGCAACTTCCATTATCTCACATCCCAAGATGCCTTAGAGACGGCTACCACTTAACACTTACTCCTCCAAGTGTGTTGGAAAGGGTGGAGGGTGCATTGGGTCTAGACTCAATGATTAATAAAAGGATTTACATTTATCGGTTCCAGTTGGGAGACGCTTGGACAACTGCTTGATTACTCCCTCTGCATAAGGGGTCAGAAAGCAATCAATCACTGCAGACAGACAGATTCCCAAGATGAAAACAGAAAGCGCTTCAACTTTGGCTTGTTCGCTCAAACTACAGGTTGAAAATATTTTGGGTCAAATCAAAAAATTACAAATACAATTCCTAAAATGATTTATTTGTCCCAGAGTTTGAGCACAAACTCATGCTGCTTGATTTGTAAGATTAAACACAAATGGACTGCGCCAATTGATCAAAGGACAGATCCCATCTTTGCACAGGGGCAGACAGCATAGGAAAATTAAGACCACAACCGATTGGTGGGGGAGAAACGTTCCACAATGGTCTCTACGGTCCCCGGACACGAGCTTGGAGAAGTGAACCCAGACAACAACGGTCCCAGGTGACTTCTGGTCGGCATGCTTGACTGCTTCCTCTATTGGCTCACCCCCCCCAGCTCGCTGCACTGTCGCCCTGCCCCATGACACGGGGAAATAGGCAGCCTAACTGTCGCCACGAAGAAGGATTTACATGCGCGCAGCGGCAGTGAAACGCCGGGTGGCGCGCCGCATACCTTCAGCGTGTCGCAGCCTGCTGCTGACGCAAAGAGCGGCGGGAAAGACTTGTTTTGTGTCAGGGAGAGGAGCTTCGCCTCCTTACAAACCGGAGTTAGCTGGGATCCAGGTTCTCCGGGGTGTTGGGACATGATCGACTGGGAACGGGCTGCCAGGACAAACTACAGTGTGTAAAACAGTGAACTCCGACAAAAACAAGCTCTCGTTTCGCCATCTTTTCCAACTCTTTGCCGAAATGACAGGGCCTGAAGCGGTTTCCTTTAATCTGGTTCACTCTCTGGCTTACGAAACGTAAAGAGTCAGCGTAGGAAATCCACTTCTGGGTTCTCACTCATACACACCTCCCTCTTCAATTTCCTGTGGGAGGGCATTTGTTCACTTTTACGCAATAACTGGCACAGCGTGCGTGAATGCGCCGCAGGAATTTGCCCTTGGTTCCCCCCGCAGCTCAAGCTCGACAGGAGGAGGAGGGACATGTCCCCGGCCTGTGCAACCAACTGCAGGTTGAGGAGTGGACATCAGCCCAGGTTTACACAAGCAGCCTCGCTGTTAATGATCGGCAGATTAGGCTTTTTTTCGTTCCTTCTTGAGGAAACTTTGACCCGTGCGGCGTGTAGAACAAACACGCAGCGGGTCCTCACGGGCCGTCCAAACGCCACGAGGGGAAAGGCGAAAGGCCCCTGAGGCTGTGGAAACACATCCGGGGCCTTAAAAAGCAGAGTGGCCTTGTAGAAACGTTGAGTCAATGTTCGGCATGCTATTGCACCGCGAGTAAAAGTATACCAGCCATCAGACTTGCGAGTGAGTAAGACGGGGGCGGTTATCACAAAAAACACACCCCACTCAAAGCGTTCCACTCGGTCGGGCAGTGGCGCTTCAGCCTCTCCACTCCCTTACGGGAGGAGGTTATGTGTCCTGCGTCGTCACGTCCACGTTGAATGCGCTTAGACAGGTTTTTTTTGATGTAGGATTATTTGGTACAGCTGGGGGAAGGAAGGGGGGCTCGGTTTTAAAACAAGGTCACCTTTGTCAAGCGATTATCAGGAGGAGGAACATTACAGCAGAATCTGTTTAAAAATAATAGATGTCGAGGAAGAGCGAGAGGATGAGAAGTTGGCCAGATAGCCGATTAAGGTGGGGGTGGCAGTGGAGGAGTAGGTGCTGCTGGTTTTAGACAAGTAGAAATAGCACAGTGCACATGCAGACTGGTTGGAGGGGTGTAAAGAGGAGCAGCACTGTAAAGGATTGGCGTAGCGTCGGGCCTAAAGAATCGGTGAACACAGAGCCAAACGTTCCTCATGGTACAGGCTGTTTTTTTTAGGTTAGGGTTTGTGCAGAACATTAACTAGAGCTAAAAGAAATCTGCAGCGTAGTGAGTGGGCGTTTAGTTGTGTGCAGTGAAACCAGTGGGGCTCCGGAATTGCATGTACCGAGACTGTGGGGAGGACATTTTATTTTAAATGCAATACACATATTGCGTACATCTCCCATTATATGAATACAACACGTCTGTGTGAACTTGAAGCCAAGGCAGACCATGTCCGGGCTTCGAATATTAGGAAAGAAAAAAATGTTAAAAGCGTTGCTACATACATGTGCCTGTTCCCAAATAATTGTCATACGTGTGCATATCTGCATGTGTGCTCGACATAGCTCATCATTGCGCCGAGTTTAAACCACTTTGCTCATGGCAGGACAGCCAGATGGACAATGTCTCATATCAATTTAAATGTTCCAGACTAATTTCTTCTTGAAAGACGAAGAAGAAGGGGGGAAAGCATCAATCCCACAAAAATATCTAGTAACACCTTGAGGAATGTCGCCATCAGGTGAACGAAGCAAACCTGCGGAGAGAGAAATCAGCAAGTCCCCGGAGGCAACGGGGACACGGTTGACGCGGCCTCGGAGAGACTGGTGTCGGGGACTGGTTCGGTCTAATCCAGAGGACACAATATCTCGCGCTATTTTAAGCCCCGCATGTCAATCACTCTTCAGATTTGTGTTTCGTCGGCATCGATGTGGCGCCGTGTTTCCGCTCGCGCGGAGGAGCGCGGGTCATGTTTCAGACTTCGCTCAGCACACACGAGACAAATATTACTTCTCATCTACGGTGGGTCGGGTTGAGGGGGTTTAATGGGGTAAACGAAGTAGCTGGACGCGGAGTAGACGAGCAGGTATTAAAAGCGCGGTATTGTAAGCGTAGCGCCGGGGTTTGCGGAGCGAAAAGCCGAGGCCCGCTGTCGGTCTCTGACCTCCACTCCGCGTCCCATCCCTCCCCTGCCATTTTCTTTCCGCCCGCCGCCTCCTTCTCCGCCCGGCTCGGCTCGACTCGGCCCAGCTGGGCCCGGCTCTCGGTTCGCTTACCTTCCGCTGCTGTTTCTCCCAGGCCGGGTCCAGCAGGAGGTCCCGGTCCCAGTCGTTCTCTTGCTCCATGTGTCCGGAGGAAGATTGGTTATTAGAAGCGTGATAATCTACCATGTCAGCTCAGCCAAACCCGAGTGCGCCACAGAGAGACCGACTATTCGTAAGAAAAGATGTCAGATATTAAACATGAAATTGGGCGAAAAAAAGAAACAACGGTCTGAACCGAAATAACGTGGAGGGATACACGGCCTAGGGACGTGTCCGTCTTTCTCTCGCCGCTTTCAGTCGTGAGTGAATGTCTTTTTTTTCAATGTAATGCACATCCGGCGTGTGCACTGAGAAAATCTCCGCTGCCGCTGTGAGGAGAAAAGGCTTTCTCTCTGCTGGGAGGAACCGGCCGCTCCTACGGACTGCAAAGGGGCGCTTCCGGTGAACCTTTCAAAGTAATCACTCTAAGATCTTTTGTTGCTTGGCTTACTTTCTCCCATAATTCAATGCGGCTTCCTTATTTTTTTATCTCAAACAAATGTCATGTCGTTTTTTCGAAAGGACTTTCTCTAAAAACGGCCCAGCTCTAGATATTGTACACATTTGTTTGGTATGTTTTCCAATTTTTGTATTTCGTTCTATTTTCTTTTTTTACAGAAAGGACATATATTTCGTACATTGTTAAAATATCCCTTGTATACATTTTTCATAATAAAGTTGATGTGATGTTTCCAACTTGTGTTATGAATTTGCAAAAGTACAATTGTTTGTAAATCCTCTCGCGAAATGGTCATGTTTTATTTTGAAGGGATAATCGCAGATATCTCCTTGGGGAACTGTGTTCATGTTTAAATTGACACACCATCGTCATAAACAGCTCATGCATATTCATGTTATATTTGAACGTGAGCTTCTGCACCAATGAAGTATTTTTTTAGAATTGATCGGAATTCGACTGCATATGTTGAACATTTACACACGTGTACTCTAAGTATATGTAAAACATATAACATGTTCAAGTGTATTTAAATATGGAGTATGAAGGGATGTGGGAATAGAAAAAATGGATGTCAGAGTCTGTTGATGAGCCGACTGCCGGTGGGAAGAAACTGTTTGTGTGGAGGGAGGTCTTGGTCCTGATGAACCTCAGTATCCTGCCAGATAGAAGACACAAACTGTTTTTGTCCGGGGTGAGAGGGGTCGGCTACAATCTTTCTTGCTCGCTTTAGGCTCCATGAAGCGAACAAGTCCTGGAGTGACGGCAGATTGCAGCCGATCACCCTCTCTGCAGAGCGGATGACGCGCTGCAGCCTGCCCTTGTCCTTGGCTGTGGCTGCAGCGTACCAGGCGGTGATGGAGGAGCAGAGGATGGACTCGATGATGGCCCTGTAGAAGTGCTCATTGTTTTTGGCCGGTTGAATTTCTTCTGAATTTCTGCCTCAGGAAGAACAACCTCTGCTGGGCCTTGGGGTTAGGGTTAGGGTTAGCTTGGTGATGGAGCTGATGTTCAGCTCCCACTTGACGTCCTGGGTAATGATGGAGCCCAGGAAACAGAAGGACTCCCCAGCATTGACCAGTGGAGCTGGATTCTTTCTGAAATTCAAAACCACCTCCACTGTCTTCAGAGCGTTGAGCTCTACGTTGTTTTGGCTGCACCATGTCACCAGTTGGTTCATCTCTGTAAGGAGAATATACGTATTAGTTTTAAATCAGGACAGAATGATCGGTTTGCAGTGGGTTACTCATGCTGCCTGATAGAAATAAGCAAAACATATTTTTAAAAAGGCACTAGCAAACCGACATTACCTTTACGCACATCCTTACGAGGTCCCTTGATCAACTCCTATCAACTAGACAGACATCCTAAGGGAACTTAACCATGTTTTTATCACGGTAAGGACATCCAAGAGGGTCCTTCGTCATGTGTTCTCCACTGGAATGGCTCTCATTTATTCACCGGTGCATCCAGGAGGATACTTTAGTTGCTGCCGATTTCCTGCTTGGGACTTTTTTGACCGTCACCAGATGATGCAGGGCCAGAAGACTCTTTGTTTTATGAATTTTCATTGATTACTGTTACTTTTGTTATTCTTGTTCAATACAAAATATCGTTCAGTCTCTCAGCCTCCGCTGATGAAAATAGTGAAAACCAGCTGAAAAGGAGAGATTGATTTTGAATGGGTGAACCAGGTCAGGTTCCAAACCGTTTGAGAGCCACTGACCCAGAGAACTGAAGCCCGATCCGCAGTGTCATTCAGGCTCGGGCTGATTTGGAGGGTGACTATTGCCCCCCCGCCTGCAGGAGCCACCTACAGAAGTAGGTCATGCTCAGGCTGTCCGGGCCCATTAGCATCACCGCGGTCCAGAGCGGCATATAAACTGCAGCAGGTCCACGCCTCGGCTCCGATGTGATCATGTGATCCCGTACAGTGCAGCGCTGCCACCAGGAGCTCTGTGATTGGTCGGTGGTCTCATTGGCGGGAAGGAGACACTTTTGATGAACTTAACTAAGAAAAGTACAGTTCCAAATGTAGCCGGTGGTGTTTACATTGAAGCTGATGATATGAATACAGAGGCACAAAGACTCAGTCATGTATTTTGTGTGTGTGCGTAAGCAGCATGTCACATTCCATACCTTTATTTGGTTTTTATGTCCTATAAACATGTTTTATATAAATCATAATATTTTTAGATAATTTTACAAAGAAACAACAGCATATTCAATTAGTAAACCACTAAATCTCTACTGAAGCAATGTTCTCTATATATGTTTTTCCTTTTTCTGTACATACTTTCACCGATGTAGTTTTCATAAATTCATATTTGTAGTATTTGTTTGCATTGTATTTGTCTGGTGTTTTAGCCCACACAGTCTGCTACTCGGCGCACGGAGCGGGGATGCTTTTATTTTCACCAAAATCAGTTCCAGTGAGATCAAACACAGGAGGCAAATCTATTCATCGGATTTCCACTTCAATTAAGACCGAGAGAGCGTGGTTACAGTGGTCCGAGGTAGACTGTTACATGCCATCCTAAAGGTCAGCTTGCACCAACACAACGGTGGGACAGCACTGTAAAAACACTGCAATAACAATGTTCCACCGGGTTCCACACACAAACACATGACCTCTGGTATTTGTAACTCTTGACACTTTAAAGAATGGTGCTGGGGGACGGATATTTACACATACCAGAAGCAGCAAAAAATTCTCAAAATATCCCGTGGTCAGCGCATTCACATGCAGACACACACAGAGTTACAGAGATAAAAGTTCTGCATAACCTGACTGATACAGATATCCGGCAAACATTTTTAAACCATGGAAACAAATACCAAAGAAACAGGTAAACAGAGTGTTATTTGAAGAAGTGAAAGTATGCAGGAGCAAAATGTAATGAAAATACTGCTGTGGCTCTTTTAGTGACATTAATGCCCCCCCCCCCCCTTCCAAACAGAGGGGGGCCTGTGCTCTGTGTGGGCCTGTTCCGCAGTACATCCTTATTGACATTTGTATTCAGCGTTCCATATCCAAAGACCCACGAAGCCTCTAAAGAAATTTAAAAAAAAGCACGTCACACATTTTTGACAGCTTTTTATTTTTCATTGACTGAGCATGATGCTGAATCAAAAGCCCAAACGATATGTTTAAGTTTAAAACCACTCCATGTTAACTTCTCCACAATCAAGTACACGTCAGCCATCCAGTCAGATAAATGGATTACTTGGTGTTCACGTTATCACTTCACTGCTTTAAGGCATCAAAAGAAAAAAAGAAATGTATAGTGGAGGAGAGTGAAATGATGAGTCTGTGTAATTATTAATCCGCTAATGGACTTGTTGGCATGAAACAAAAATAACTGATGTGAATTTGGCATTATGGAACGGTAGCTTGTTGGTGGATTTACGAGGAATTGACATACGCAGAGTAATAAAATAAACACCTGAAAGTATACTGTTTTCTTTCCAGCTGTTTGAAATAGGAAATGTTATGGAAGCAAAAAGCCCCAAATCTCAGGATTGATCACTAAATGAAAAATTGTGTATTTCAAAAGTATCTGGCCATATGGGGGGTAGTTTATAAAATTCACTTCCTTCGTTTAGTTTTTTTAAGTCTGGATTTTAAATCTTCCATACAAAAAATGAGTTAATTTCATAGAAAAGAAAGTCAATTTCAGTGTTGTAGTGGTTAAAGTTCATTTTTTTACACCCCTGGTAATTAGCGTGAGGAAACATCGTACAGTTTTCTTTGTTTATGTCGGTCAGACACAGTACAAAAGTGCGACAGACACAGTAAATAAACCCTGTGTACTTTGTCTCACAGTTTTGACCTCTGACCCGGGAGACAGAATTGTGAAGTCTCTGTTTGCTACATGTTCATATCAGCAAGCTGTACAGTACATCAACATATACACATCTCAACACATTAAAATCATGCAGGGAAATCTGAGAAGAAGCCAGTTCTGATGAAGCCGTCTGATTGGACCAGGTCAGTTGTACATGGTCATCTGGAGCCACTGGAACCAATCAGAGAACAAAAGATATTTAGCTGAAAATCACCTTGTTTCATGGCAAACAGTAATAATTACACAACCATTCAAAAGATAGGAATCTCCTGCCACAGAGCTCGATGATGACTGAGGAATATTCGCTATGTCTGAATGGACAAAGATGCCTTTGAGCAGCAGTTGAATAACAAAAGAAGAAACCAGAAGTCTTGGGTGAAACAAACTGAAACGCTGAGCATCATGTGGTACTAGTGGGCAGTAGCCTGTCATTTTAGAAACCATTTAACGGTTCCATTTGTTAATTAGTACTCAATCTAAGCGCTGAGGAGACTGCTCAGGGGCCTCAATACTTATTAGAGCCCAGTTCGATAATGATAGACGGTCACTGAAAACATATTCAGCACCCAAGTTAAACAGTGATCTCCTCTGTGGGACGACAACTAAATGGAAGTTTGAATCGTTTCATTCCTCAATCTATTCCAGTTGTAACATAAACATTAAGTGTGATTTATATGTGCTTAAAAATAACATTGATGTTATCAATGAAGTAAGTTTTCTTGTCTAAGCTGCAAATATTAAAGGCACTAAAAGCTAGAAATAAATATCACACCTTTTTGTTTGAACTTCTTTTCCCTCTCTGATCAAAGTATCTAAAGCAGATACAGAGGAAGGAGTCATAAATGAACGCCCTTACCTGTCTGTAGCTCACAGTGATGCTTCCCATACCAGTTATGTCGTGCGCTTGGAATTTGTCTGCAAAAGGGGAACAATGAATACTTTAGAAGCGTTTGAACTGCAATGGCAAATATTTCTATTGGTTGTCCTTTCTGTGGTGGCCGGTGTTGCATTTTTCAGGTGACTAAGTTGATGTAAATGAGTAAACGCCTCTTAGACTGCCCTCCCCTCCCCCTTACGGGCCATGCTCTCCAGCTTCATCAGCAGGTACAGGAAACCGGGGTAACTGATGGTCAGGTCTGGCTCCGTGTACCGCAGTCCGACCAGCTGCATTATCAAATCGTCCACCATGATGCCTGGGGCCGAGATATGGACACAAGACGGGTCAGAATCAACCTCGAAACATTCATGGTTGTAAAAACAAGCATTTACACTTGTGCGCATCAACTGGGGGGGGAAGCGGTTTCACTCAGATTAAAATGTTAAGTAATACAAAAGTAAAAGTTATAAAAATACAAAATAGGTTTTAGTAATTCTGTGTGATTGGATTATCATGACCCACAGTAATATACATTTAAACTGTAACTATATCTTGTTTTAGAATCTCACAGGTTTTCTACGTAAAATGTAAAAAACCGAAGTAGTCATATGTGGTGGAGTGAAAGCTACAAGTGTAACGTAAGTCGCACATGTCCTTAGTTCCTCCCCTCTGCAGCGTGCAGGTATAGTATCAGTCTGTTGTAACTTGTAAAGGTCATGATGAAGGTGACTATATCTACAAATGGACGCAGTCGGAGTAGATATAACCAGTTACTTCAACGAGCTGCGTTAAGAAGCAGCGAAGCGGTAGGAGAGGTGGTTGCGCCCCCTGCTGGTCATATAAAAGTTTATTTTCTGAAAGCCGTGGAACCGGAACATTTCTTGTTCAGTACAAATGTTACACGTTGACTTGGAAATACTGCGGAGAAAAGCATTTAATGTGAATAAACTCATCATATTGGTCCCACCTGCTTTCTGCAGAGCGGGGGCCACCTCTTTGTACTCCAGGTGGTTTGTTTTGTTCTTGTCAAACACCAGGAAGATATCCTGAAAAAACATGGTCTCATTAAATAATCTATTTCTGCAGAGAGGGATTTCATTCATATGATAAACACAGAGTAGGTTTTATGATCCACAGCCTTAATGAATACTGCACTCCACCAAGCATCACTGGTTCCCTCAACAAACAGCCGATTGAGGCTTATTTTTTACCATGAAGTCGGTGTTGTGACCTTATTTCAGGCATCTAACCAAAAAAACATTGTAAAAAATATGTATTTTTGAGATGATGAAATTATTTGTGCAGACCCATTAATTCCTGCAACACAGTCACACAGATGGTGTCTGCAGTGGGAAATGTAGGTTTGGTGGTAGTTCATAGTTGAACACTGTCTGAAGAATTCACAGCATACATGTGCAAATACACATCACACAAGCATTTATTGATTTTCAGGGGAATCCTAATCTTCTAGATTGACAATTGAAATAGTTGTTTGTGTTGATAATCTCACCGTCCACCTCCTGATCTTGTCCCACAGACACCTGAAGTCCAGCCAGTTCAGCCGAGCGTTGCCTTGACTCTGAAGAATATCCCGAGGTCAAGGAAAGGAAAGCAGACAAACGCCTACGAGCCTCGACAGACGCCTCGTTTCTCTTCCTTTTGTTTTGGTCAGTCAGACAAACCGGTGACAAATCCAGACGCACAATGGTGGGACGGACACTAACATGAGACGGGATTTGAATGTGGGTACGGTTGGTAGTTGTTTTGTGTTGTGTTCTGCAAGTGCTTGTGTGCATAGATTTTTTGTTTGTGTGAAATTGTTATGTATTTAAACAGGAATATATGTGAGCAGAGTGATGTAGTCAATCCAATTCTGAAGCTTGGATTGATATGGATAATAACACACATACATCATACAGGTGATGGGCGTAACGTAGCTTTTTAAGGATACGTCCGTGAGGACCACCAGGCTCTTGCAGTGCTCCAGGGCCAAGTACTTCTCACTGCCGGCCAACACTGAGCACAACAAGTTTAGGAGAAGCCTTAACATGCATGCATTATATCAGTGGTTCACAAACCCATCACCCACCCACATAAAACAATATAGAATTATAACAAATACAATTGCAAACCAGTTGTAAAGATTGGAATCTATATCCAATGAGAGAGAGAAAGAGACCCACCACCAACATGATCAGATAAAAAAAGAATATGATCCTACGGTTAATGTGGAGACATAGGGCTGTACTAATTTTAGAAATAAAAACTCATTTTTACTGATTATATATATAATAATACAAGTAATTCAAAACAAAGAAGGTACGACCTATTTAGGGCGGGAGTATGTTCCTATATCATCAAAGGAGGGGGTGCGACAGAAACGGTTTAGGAACCACTGTATTATTTCAACATCAAACTTCGGCCTGAATCCTCCTTGTTGGCCAACGTCAACAGTGGGAATCTATGGGAGGGATCCGTTTTCAGACAGAAGGACTTAGGGGGACTTAAAGGAGCAGTGCGCGTGTGATCTTTCATCAACAAAGCAATGTTGTCCTTAGTGTGAAATCTCCTGGAACTAAGAACCGTTGTGTTTTCTTTAGCTAAGAACAAGCTATTGATCTCTAGATCTTCATGTTCCATTCTTCTGCAGTGGCCAAGAACGGACAAACCAAAAACCAGCTCTGGAAAGGGCCGATTGCTTTTGATAAAATGTTTTCTGCCTGCCTTAAGAAAAAGTATCAGTTCACAATAATGGCTCTAGTTGAGTAACAAGGTTGATCGGGTTAGTTGGCTTATTCACTAACTAGGTTGGGGACCTACTGTAAAAATAATCGTCCCAAACTTACCCTTACCTCATGATCACAACAAAGGGTTGTAAAAGATGAAAAACAAAATAAAAGTTTATACAACCGATCCACTGAAGAAGTTATTTTGCTTTTGTATTCCCATGAAAATCTTTCGCTGCTTCTTTGCACCATTAAAAATGATTCTGTTCAAAGGGAAAAGAGATAAAACAGGTCACATGATCGCCACTGACCTCCTCCCTGCAGGGCCTCCGTCAGCAGGTTGAGGAGGTGCACTGGTTTGCAAAGTCCCTGCAAGTAACACAAAGTAGGAATTAGTCACCACACAAGACATACAGGTCAGTGCAACACACACATCTGTCAGTGCAGTCAACTTGAGTATTTTCATTAAACTGCTGGGAGCAGAAGAAGGATCGGGTTTACCAATTTTCTCAGACTTCTATACAATTAGACTTATTTTTGCAACCAGTAGAGAGAATGCATGTTCAAGGCACTTTCCTTTGATCCAAGGCAAGACACTCAGGAGCTACAGTTTTTTAATTAAATATTGTGAAACTGTGTCGGGAAAAAATCGGCCTTTCCCATGTGCAGACGAGGCTCGACTCCGATGAGTCAGCACGACTCTTGAGTCGAAGATGTTTAAAAGCAGACGTGTTACAAAGAGCGAATGAAAAACGGTGATAGAACCATTTTTCCAATAAAAAATGTTTTCAGTAAAAGTCCACCGTTATTTAGATAATTAAAGGCTTTTGTTATAATAATATAATATAATATAGAATATATATATATGATATTGTGGAAGTTGCGTTTGGAATGAAAGGCAATTCCGCGAGTTGAGAACAGCAGCGTGTGTCTCGTTTTTTTATACCATAACAACCAACTCTAAAGATGGCGCAGCCCTGTAACCTCACAAGCAAGGGTCTCTGCGTCACAACATAACAAAACATTTAAAGGGACCGTGATCCCGGAACAGTCGCAATTGCGTGTACAACAAAACAAGAACAAAGGTGAATTATGCAGTCACATATATATAATTAAATGTTGGTAGCAGCAACCTGAAGTAACTTTCCAACCACTACCCCATTTTCCCTAAAACAAGTACTTGTGGCTACATTGATGCTCGCAGGTCATTCTGCGTCAGTCCCTTACTCTTCTTCAATACTGGACCACTTCTTTATTTAATTGTTATCCCCATTCACTAACTGACTGTTAGTTCAGGCTGCCAGCCAATATCCAAATTGCTTTTAGAAAGTCTGGACATATATATGTGATTTTTTAAAATGAAATCCAGTCGGCACTCAGAAATCCCAATTAGTTGCAAATGACAACGTGGACTGTAGATTTGTTTCTCAAATCAGATTTGCCTTCTGCCTGAACATAAAACATAAAAAAACATGGGTAAATAGGGTGCTGGTTGAAAAACAACCAGTTATCTGACTGAAAGCGATCACGGCGCAGCGAACTGAAGCTGATATCTCACCTGGCTGGAGTGCTTCTTGAACAGCTGTGCGATAGATGTGGTTGAAGGAAGAGCAGCTTCGTGGGGAAATGAAAGCTCCAGGAAGAAAGCACAGAGCCTCATTTCAACAACAGCACTTTACTTTGACAAACTAATGCCTCGCGTACAACTTTTATGTGCATCTCCTGCATGTACCGGAAGTTATTGTTTGGACTTAGGGTTTGCATCTCCTAAATTACTACATTTTATTATTGTATAATATATTGTGGATGTAAAAGTTCAGAGAATATCAAGATGTTTTGGAAATAATGAGTTAGAGATTTTTGCACTGTAGGAGAGCAATAGTACTTTTTCATGTTCTATTTACAACAAAATTATCTTGGATGGTTTTATGGTCAGAGCAAGCGAGGGTCCAGGGTTCCAAGCGCCTGTTTTTTAATGATGGACTAGTTTTAAAAACACCAAAAACAGGAAAATCTATCAGCATTAAAGTGGCTCCTCAAAAACATACCAAAAAATTGTATCATATTTACCATTCAGCACTGTGAGTAGCTGTTACATTTGTATTGATATATGTAACACATGATACTATGATGTGAATTGTTATTGTGAATAAACCTCAGTGAACCTTAGTAAGGGATCTTAAAACCAGCATTATGGACAGAAGGAACTTGTTACTAACTGCAGAAGAAATAGTTCTTACATATGGTGGGATATTGGCACGGACATCATTTAGTAATAGTCAGAATAGACCTGCTGCAAGGTTTCCTTAAATCTTCTCCCATCTCAACAGGAACTTGAGCGCTGGACCCTCAATTAAAAGTCTGATCTACCAACAGGGGCTCTCCAGGCTTTCAACCCAACTAATCTACAGTGGGACCATCGCAGACTACAACTAGTCCTCCACAGCCTAGAAGCCTTAAAACACACTGAACCGCGACTGAGCTTTACTGACTCACATAAAAGCTTGTCTGACTTTAATCTCATACATTGGTCAGCATTTGTCTCATACCTCTGTGGAAGGGATGTCAATTGGTGGTTTGCTGGCTGGACTGAGAGAAGATAAAATAAAAAAAAACACTCAAATCATCATCTTAAATGCCTCATACTTATGATTAAGAGCCCTCTGAGGATTCTCAATCTCATCCGCACGTTTGAAGGTTGCATCTTTGTAAAAATGTCTGATAGGTACCTCCTTTTTTAAAAAACTTTCTCCACGATGTCGGCTAATTGATCAGTGACTCACGTGGCGGCGTTGCCCTGCTCCGTCAGCACCCGGAGGAGGAAGGCTCCCGGCTGATTGGGCTCGGCGGTTGAAGGGACGATGATGTAGCGGCCCGGTGGGAGGGAGCCGCGGAGGACCACCTCCCGCCGCATGGAGTAGTTGAGGAAGAGGACCGGGCGGAACGCTTGCAGGTCCTTGGGGGACAGGTAGGTGTTCTTAGGATGAGCCTGGAGGGACAGCACACACTTTTCAACACCTTCAATATTTTTCCATTAAATTTACTTTGCCCAAAATCATAAATCACAAATTTGCCATGGAGGGATTTATATGGAAAAACACTCACTTTGAAAATAAAAGGACTGCACTAGAATTCTCTATGCATAAGACATTCTTAGATTATGATGATACTGGTAAGCAGCCTTTTACTGTGGTAGCTGGTCCTGCTGGAACTAGTTTGAAATAATTGTCAAACACACCTTTTCACACTCTATTCAATGAACAGGTGTGTCCAAACCTTTGACTGGTACTTTACAGTTAGCTAGTGTAGTGTCCAGTGGTTCTCAACCTAAGGGTCGGGCCCCTCTTAAAGGTCCCCAGATGAATCTGAGGGGTCATGAGTTCATCAATGGAGGGGAGAGAAGAAAAACCAAACTTCTGATACATAAATCTGTTTTCAGTTTTTGGCCTCTCCTCTGAACTCGATGTTTGTCGATATTGACAGCAGAGGAATGAAAAGGATCCTTAACTACATGTTTTAGGTCACGAGAACAGCTTGGAAACCACTTGTTTAAATATTTAGAAATGTATTAACATTGTGGGTTTTTTTTTAAATGGATATCTCGACCTTCAGAGAAACGGCGGGGGGTGTGTGTGTGTGTGTGTGTGTGTGTGAGCCTGTACCGGGTAAATATGCAGGGCTATAGCCAGGTTGACACCCCTACGTCTCTGGTGTTTCTGCATCAGAGCCAAAACGAAGGAGCAGGTCTTGTGAGAGTTGTGCGTGCCGCGGTCCACTCTGACAAGGTGAAGTAGTACTGAGGGTTCTGCCAGAAAAAAACTGCAACACAGGCACACGCGCGCGCACGGGCGCACACACACACACACACACACACACACACACACACACACACACACACACACACACACACACACACACACACACACACACACACACACACACACACACACACACAGTATTACAGTTACAGTTTAAACCTCCTCTTTTTCTCACTATGATGACATCTGATCAGCACAAATGCTTTAACTACATTTGACTCCTCTAAATGCTCAGATCATATTTCAACTCCATGTCATTGTATCGTATTAATTTGATCCAAACACTAATGTAGCGCAGTCAGGTCAACAAACTTGCTGTAACGTCTTAGGTTGGAACTGAACAGACAAAAAGGGATGCACCCCCAAAACTTGCTTCTAAATGAAAAACGTTTCTAAATTAGCAAGAGTATGGATAAGGTCCAGAGTGAACGGCTCTTCTATTGGTGCTTTATAAGTTCCGGCTCAAACATCCTCTCCATCCCTCGGCCTCATTTAGCTTTACTCTGGTACATCACAGCAGAAAAGATCCAAACTGTCCATGTCACTCAAGTAGATGCTGAGGACTCTTGATGACAAAAATGCAATAAAACCCTTCAAGTATTTCGGCAACAAGAAGAACATCAGAGTTTAATCACAGAATCCGCATGAAATGAAAGCTAACCGTAAGCTACTTGTTGTTAAGCTGTGAATGTATTTGAAAGAGGTTGAAGTATGTTCTGTTCTGTAGCGTAAGTGTAATGTTATGACATGCAGGAAATACCAAGGTGTGGAGACGGCTACCGTGTCGCAATTTCTTCTTTTTCCGGTGTACCACAAATATACATAAATGCTTATCCCTATACTTTAAGTTCAGCACTACTTGATGTCTCACGTTCTTTATTGTTGGAATGCATTGAGATGCATTCCAAGTATTGTTCTTCGAATCTTTATTCCGACTTATTCCTCTATTTCTTCCGCCGCACCTTTCAACTCCTTCATACTTTCAGCTATTAAAACCATTCAAATATTAAAATGTTCAGCTTCTTTCTGGCTTGGGGGCTATGACTTTTCAGCTTTCTACCTCTTAAGCTTGAATTTATATAAATGAATAATCATTAATATTTTAACATGGTTTTCAAATGGAGATTGTTTTCAAATCCTCCTTAAACTTCTTCAACTTCTTCAACTTTCAGATTTTTCAGCTTCGCCAATCTTTCAGCTACAGACACCATTTCAACTCTCAAATGTTCACACAAGTCTCAACTATTTTATGAAAAAAACTGCTTCTTGATATCTATTGTACTTTTTTCATAATCACTGATTATGTTTCACTAGTTCTTCGCTCCGTTTCTGACTTTTACATGAGTGTGTATTGCGTCTGCTAGAGTGGAGAGCTCGAGGCTAGAGTGTGGGGCATCGCAGGAATCTGGTTAAAAAAATATGGAACTTTTGTCCTTGCAGCCAAAGTATACACTCTAGAGGCTTCATTTCTTCAGATTAATGAGGGTATGGTTGTGCTGATTGGATTAATGTGTTCATGGAATCCCAGAGTTCTTTAGTTTTGGCGCAAGGTGTGTTTGAGTGACACAACCTCTGCCAAAAGCCCCATAGGCTCCAATACAAATCTGCCGACATATTTCTCACAAAAATCCACAAGGTACACATTTTGTAAACGGCCATAGGAGCCGTATTTATTACCGGACAGACATAAAAACACATCCACGCGTTCGGTAGAGTCTTGGGTCTCATACAAACGCCGTATTTTTTAGATAGCTGTTATAGTTTTGCGCTGGTTCCCATTTGTTTGAGGTGTGGATTCTGTGTAACTTGCTGCCATGTCTCTGTCTTTTGCAGTAGATCGTTAATGATCACAGGTGCGCCGTTGTCGTGGTTACGAGCACTCACATGCTGCAGGATCTGTCTGTGACTCACAGCTGCTCCTTGTGACCTGATTAGTGGAGTCACATGACGCAGCTATGCTTTCTGTCAACAGACCAATATAATAAAGACACTGGCCCCCCCTCTCCACTCCACCCTGACCTCTGCTCACTGTTAATCACTCTCAGTCAGTATGTCTGTCTATTTCTCCTCTCTCTCTCTCTCTCCCTCTATCTCTTCCTCACCACCCCTCCATTCCTCACCCTCTCACCCTCCCTCCCTCTATCTACACCCCCCCACCCCACCCAATCCAATAGGTGCGCCGTTGTCGTGGTTACTCGCTCACACGCTGCAGGATCTCTGTCTGTGGCTCAAAGCTGCTCCTATGACCTGATTAGTGGAGTCACATGACGCAGCTATGCTTTCTGTCAACAGACCAATATGATAAAGACACTCGCCCCCCCTCCCCCCTCCACCCTGACCTCTGCTCACTGTTAATCACTCTCAGTCAGTATGTCTGTCTATTTCTCCTCTCTCTCTCTCTCCCTCTATCTCTTCCTCACCACCCCTCCCTTCCTCACCCTCTCAGCCTCCCTCCCTCTATCTACACCCCCCCACCCCACCCAATCCAATCATTTCAAAATAAAAGCCCCATGGAGGGAATTTTTACTGTAATGTCTGTGATGAGGCCTATTAATTAAAAACTTTTAAGTGTGAATAACAAACATTCTGTCTCCCACTACGAATATTACTCGTACTTCTAGTACTACAACTGATACTTCTACTACCATACTACTAGTATTTCTACTGCTATTAATACTACAACTACTACTAATGTTATTACAAATACTACTATGGCTAAAAGTATTCCAGCTGTTTCTACTGCTATTGATACTAAACCTACTATTACTGCTTATACTGCTAGTACTACTAATACCACAATTATAACTAATACTAGTACTAATATTACTACAAACAATTTTAAACAAATTTAAGCTCCTGCAACTTCTGTTTTTAGAAAATCTATTGAAATTCAGCTCCCCCACTTCCTGTATTTTCAGCAGTTCTTTAAAATAATTTCAGCTATTCTTATGCCTCTATCAACAGCAATTTTTTAATATTCATTTCTGTATTTTTTTGCAATATTTCAAATTTATTTCAGCTGTTTTCATTTCTGCTTTTTCAGCAAATCTATTGAAATTCCTTTCAGCTTCTCCCATTTCTGTATTTTCAGCAATTTCAAATTCATTTCAGCTTTTCAAATATCTGTCATTTCAGCAAATGTATTCAAATTCCCTTCAACTTTCTGTATTTTCAGCTATTTTCAAATATTCAGTGCAGCTTTCAGCTTTTTGCATTCCAACGCATTTTCAGCAGGAAATGCCTTTTCTAGTTTTCATTCATATTTGGATCTGCACTGTTCTAAGATTTTAATGGTAAGTGACTGTAAATGATTTAGAGTGATGAAACACTGTACTCGGGCACCACTTTGGTACAAGACATGTATTATTCCGGTTGACTTTTCACTGAAGTTCCCTTCTTGCAGATGTTTCAAAACAAAAGCCTTAAAGGCAATTATGCATCCTGTTCCTATAGGAAGGCGTTTAATGTTGACCAGGCAACAACAGTAACTCAACTGCAAATGGGAGGAGATAAGAAAAAATACATAGTCAATACTAATAATACAAACATCTCAACTAGAGGTTTTCTTTATAATGGTGCAAGCAAAGGTTAACAAAAAGATGGACGTGTTTCGTCATGGATCGCCCATTGTGTCTTCTTACCTCCTTGGGCGGAGCCTCCTGCTGAGATGCTTGGCACCCAGTTCCCATGGTGCATTACGCAGCACCACGGCAGCACGCTGGACCCTGTTTCACTCAGAGAGTCAGTCAGGTGACACACCTCCATTGTCTCGAAGTGCCGCCGGAAGTCTGACACAGACATCCTGAGGGACAGAGACAAAGACGAGTAATAGATGTCCTGTGATGGCCAGCAGGGATCGATTGCTCAAATTGTATTGGTCTATGAGAAAATGACCTCTGACTTCATCGATTACCTCAGTAAACATTGAAAACCTGAGTTTATGATCTCTCTCTCTCTCTCTATATATATATATATATATATATATATATATTGTGTCTACTTTTATTGAAAACAGCTGGAAAATTATACGTTTTCTAATAAGCAATGGGGGTTGAATAATTTTACTAACTGCACATTTAAGGTGTCTGCTGCTGTGATTTGACGCAAAGCCGACGAGGGGGTGGGGGGCCACACAAATATATATATACTGCATACATAGTCCAGATCATCATCCACACTTTCTTTACAAATGAGAAGAAGCGTGTGACAAGGTAATTCCCGGATAAGCCGGCCTGTTTTCCTCGTTGCTCTTGCATGCCACAGCGCTTTGTTTCGTGCTTGCAGAAGGCGGGCGGTGAGAGTCAAAGGCACAGAGAGCACACAAACTCACCAGAACTCCCCGTCCTCACGTTTCACTCTTTCCAGTCTTTTCTGCTCCTCCTTGTTAACCGCCTCCCACTCTGGGCTGTACAGAAAGACACAGAGAGAAGGCCTTTATATACGTGTGACAAAAAACAAGTTTATTTATGTTTTTGTCTTTTTGAGACACATAAAACAGTAAAAACAGATAAACGGAGCTGTGATATCAGTTGATGCGGATGATTTCTTTATTTAGAGATGTTCCTCAGTGGCAAACTGAGAAGAGACAGCAAGATAGCAAAGTAGTGAGAAGCATTAGAAACCATATCCTCACAGTATATGCATTTATATGCATATCCTCTACATCTGTTCCCAGTATGTATGCACATATTATATTATTGTTTACACATTTTACTAATACTCACCAAGCTACCAGTATTATTTTTTACTTTTTTTCTGGTTAGATTTCAATTAAGTGATGCTACTAATAATAGCATAATTAATACTACTACTGAAACAGTATGTACATATGTTTATAATTGTAATTAGAAAAAAACATGGTTTTAGATGGGAAAATGTGATTTAACTTGGTTTACTTCTTTGTTAATACGTTTTCCTTTATTGAGAGAGAATTGAACATGTACACCGACCCTTTCAAGTCGCTCCACGGCCCCGACCACTCTGTGTTGCCCCAAGGGTTGAGGATCCGCACCAAATCCACGATGCCGTGTGCCGTCTTCACCTGGGGGCAGGGCATGAATGCATACAAGTACTAGTAGCCTTAGTAGAAAGACTTTCCCTCCACTCAATCCCACACTTAATGCACACATAAAATAAAAAATGAGAGGGTTGTTATCAGACTATTTATCCATAGCCATAATATTGATCAATATTTATATTTAGTACAATAATAGTTTTGGACGGTATTTAGTTTAAGTCAGGTGGGGCTCTCAAAAATAGGACTTCGAACAGATATTTACCTGTTCCACTGCAGTCAGAGAGTAGGCATGTCTGAACATGATTCCCAGTCCATTACTTTGCTCCAAAGGACCCTTCAAAGCAAAGAAAAACACATCCACTCCTCTACTGTCAGGACAGAAGAAAAATGACTCATCAGCCTGGAGGAAACCTTTGACTGAAGCAGAAGGTGTTCCCATGTTCTCAGCAGGTCAAACTAGACCTAACATGTTGATTCCTCCAGCTTCCACAACACTGTTGATCTCTTCGCCCACGTACCTGGCAGTTGGCACAGTTAATGAGCGCTCCTCTAGCCAGCAGGTGTCTGAGAAAGGCTGGGAGGTCTTGGGGCAGCAAGGAGATATTGAAAACCTCAGTCACCCCGCCCGTCATATCCACCATCGCCTCGTGAGGGAAGCCCATGTCCAGGGCTCTGTAGCCGCCTTTAAGCCTGGGACAAAAGACATCAAACTCCAGGTGGTGAACATGTGAATAACCAGAAAAACGACTACCGGTAGTCTTTATTGGAATAAAAACCCTCTTGAGAAAAACATACACCCTACAAACATAACGGGTGAACAAACATCTGTTCCAGTAGGGAGGGGGAACTTTTCAGTATGTTTGAATTCCATCTGGTGGCATAAAGAGGGAAAGGTATGTAGAGACGAAAGGACTTCAGGATTTCACTGACTTAAAACTGCCTGATGGAACAGAGCTGCTGAGCGTTTCATTTTATAACAAGTTCCAGAGCTCATTATTGCATTTCTGACTGTTCTTTCCATAATTCAGATGGTAAATTATCAATCAGTCTTGAGTCTAACAGCAAAGCAGCAAAACATAAAAGGTGGTGGAATCAAATCCCAAAGGCTTTTTTTAAACTCGCAACTCAGTATACATGGAGATTCATTTTAATGCAAGATTTCACACCAAAACATCTGCCATTTTCGGATTTCTCTGCCGTTTGCTTTTTTAAGGAAGATCTGCCAATATGTGTTTGCATGTTTGCTATTGATGGTTAAAGCAACAATATATATATACATATATAGCCTAGAGTTGTAATCTAAAGAAGACTCACTCATTAGTTTGTGATCTGCCACTTTGAAGTCTGAAGTCCAGAGATTTTGCTAAAGCCAATTTGCGATCCAATGAAGTGGTCACCATATTTGGTAAGCTCGCCCTAAAGCATACTTTTAAACTGATTTATCCCCGTTACGAGAATAACACTTTGAACATATATTATTTCCATCTTCATTATATACATCTTTTCATTCATTATAATATATACACACACACACAAACACAAACAAAGAGTAGAATTTTCATTGCGTACAAGCGTATGTCTTTTCAAGGTGCCCATGAGAAAGGGTGTCACAATTGACCTTTATTAAGCCCCTCCTCCACCTGCTACTCCGATAGGTGTAACAGCTTTAGAGCCCACATTGTCACTAGCGCCCCTCCTTAAAGAAATATGCTCAGAGAGAAGCGGACAGACGGATGTGCAGTAAACAAAATATCCAAACTGATTCAGCAGCAAAAGCAGGTTGAATAGATAAAGATTGACGCTGAAGCTACAGATCATAGGAACTAAAGTGCAAAGTGTAAGTAGTAGAAACCAAACTATGTAATGTAATTACTCTCACTCTAATTCAGTCAAGGTTTGCTGGATGGCTCCATCATCCTCGACCACACCCTTTCTACCCCGGCCCTCCCTCTCCACTGCCTCCACCAGAATTCTTGATTAGAAAGACTTGACTACTACGTCAGCACCTTCTACGGCTCTCCCAACAAAATCCTCAACAAACTCCAATATGTTCAGAACTCTGCCTCTCGACTCCTCACCTTCATCCGCTGCCATGAACACATCACCCTGGTCCTATGCAACCTCCACTGGCTCCCAGTCAAATACAGGATAGACTTCAAAATATTACACCGGACCTGGAGCAAAAGGGCCTGCTGCCCCTCCCCATCCACTTCCGCCAGGCTACCGGCCCATCGTCCCTCCAAACCCACCTCTTCAAACTCCCCTTCAACTACTAACCCCTACACCCCACCCGCCACTACATGGCTCATTCCGCGCAGTTTCTCCAGTTTTCGTATTACAGAAAATGTTCTGTTTGTTTTGATTGTCCCTTTGTCTTTCTTTTCGTTTTTTTGGTCTGTCTGTCTGTCTTTGCCCCATATAACGGGTATTTACAAAAGCACTATGTAAAACAAAAGTAGTATTATTATTAGGGTTAATTTTATTTCTCATCCAAAAAAGGTAATTCTTTTCTTTCGACACAAACACAGACGCACGCTCACACACACACGTGACGCACGCTCACACACACACGTACACACACACGCACACGGACTCACTTGGCGTAGGCCTTCTCCAGGAGGGCGCTCCAGAACTCATCTCTCTCTGGGGAGCTGAGGTATATCAGTTTGTTGTCCTTAGTTGGCAAAAAGTCGTCTATCTTCACCTCCTCCCACTGACCGTACTGCCAGAACTAGAAATAATGCAACATCCGTTGTTCATCGCAATGAAAGCTACATTGTTTTATCAACAACAGAAAAGAAAGAGACGGAAGAGATTGTAGGTTCCTTTCTGTCTTTGATAATTTGAAACCCAACATGTGTGACACAACAGAAGTCAAGTGAAACAAGATCAAATACATTTTCCCAGTTAACACCCTTTGTCTCTGTGTTAATGTTTAATTTATCTATATAAATCAGTCACCAATACAGTAGCGGCGGTCGTAAAGGGTTATCGTCTGTTCAAGGGTTTCAAATGTTCGAGGACTCACGCCGCACACTAGATTCATCATGGAAGTGAGGTGTGTTTGGATAGAAATGGGCCCTTTGTTTCATTTCCTAATCAATGTGACTAATGAAACCAAGGGAAACTCTACCAGTGGCTCTTTGTCACTGACGATAACTATTCTTGAGTTGAGGTGAGCCGGGCGCCGTTCAATCAGCATGTAATGTGACACAGAGCCGGTTAACACACGGCAGCGTTTCCCTTTGCTCTCCACTTCTCCTCCTCCGCCTCCTCCTCATCTAACAGGAGATCCTAAAATTATAAGACAGCCTCATTCTTAACGGCACAATCAATTGCCAACGGATTTGATTTAAATGTATTCTGTAACTGCACTCAGCTAAAATATTTCACTAAGAAAAACTTGAGCCTCACTGGGAATTTACATAGAGACTGAGATCCATCCGGGTTTCACAAACAGGTGTTAAGCAGATTTCAGGTATTTACCGAGAAGGTGAAGCAACCCTTGTACCCGTCTTTGAAGCTCTGTTCCAGAGGCATGACCTTATTGAGCAGGAAGCGGTTCACGGAGAGGGACGCGATGGCGGAGAGCAACCAGCAATCATCTATGAGACAAATGAGGTTTGACATATAGGTCAGGTTACCAAAGGGCGTGTCCTTTGTGCAATTCATTCAACACCGTGGTTTCAGAGTTTCCCTTTTAGAGGGTGCGCATCGCAGCCCTCTTTTGACACAATTTTTTCACATCCTCTTTAGTCACTGGTTTCTCATAATTCATGGTGCACCAGCTGGATGGATTTATGGTGCGTGCAGTCACACAATATCACACGACCACTGAACCACTCAATATATCTGTCCACGGGAGACAAGGACGTGTGCAAAATCAACAAATCGGACTCGGGTATTTGCATCCCTCTCAATAACTAATAAGTATTAGAGGTGGAACAAAGTTTACAGATCCCTCACAGTCCATAGGCGTGTGAAACACAGATTACTGGCAGTTTAACGTTAACCATCACAGTGTGAAATAAAGTTTTACCAGCAATCGTTATGTGCCAGTGGTCAGTAAAATATGCAATCAGGACATCAGCATTCATGTATATTTAGATGCTGATCTCTGACAATGTACATTGTAAACAACCAATCAGTGTTTAAATCAGCAGGAGAGCTGGTAACCATGGCAGCACTGATCAACCAGAGAAGGTTCCGTTCAGTTACACTGTGACCTGTTCAGGCTCGGTTTAGTGAAAATGAGTTAACGGTTAATTATTATGTTATCGTGATGTGTCAAAATGTGATATTGTAAGTGTTAGTGGGAAACTTGATTAACATTAAGAACTTTATATTGCTTACAGACTTCAGAGTGTTTGCAGCTATTTTTGGGATGGTGTCAGTGAAAAACAAATCTACCACCACATTCCTGTTTGTTCTTGGCAGCCGGCCTCAAATATTAATTTTATCATCAGAACATAAAACGCTTCTTACCCATGTCATATGAAAACAAATAGGGAGTAAACTCACGTGACCATTTCTTAAAAAGATCAATCAATATACCCATATATTAAAAAGGGTTCTTTGTACTCGGTGTTTGTGTGGACCCAAGGTGTCTGGACAAACGGTGTTGTGCAACAGCGCCTACTTACTGAGCGCTCCCTGGCAGACGTCCAGGCGCGTGGCTCCGTTCACGATGAACTGAGGGGCCGAACAGAGCTCCTGCAGGCACAGAAGAGTTTAGTGAATGAATAAGAAAATAAATAAATAAATGCATTTAAGTAATCATTCAAAAAACCAATGATAAGCAATACCTTAAAACAGGGCAGTTTTTTACTTTTATTGATTATTGATTATTATATTACCATTATCACTGGACTTTATGTGTGTGTATATACACACACACACACACACACACACACACACACACAAGTACTATGTGTGAGTGACAGTCCACAGTACCGGTTTAACTGGGTTGATAATCCTTTAGACAAGCATGTGTTAATGGATCCAACTACAACCACAACATGATTGACAACCGCTTAGTGTTTGTCTCTAAATGGTATTTCACGGTTAATAAGCAGATGGACTTGTGTGCAGATGTGTGGAGTTCTTGTATTAACTTTAGTGCCTTTTGAGGCATTTTTGCAGTTTTCTCGTAAATAGATAAACCTACTTAATAAACACTGTTATAAACAGTCTGGAAAAAAATTATTATAGCTTTTTCTATTAAAAATACAGCCACCTGAAAAATGCAAATACTGCAAATTTCCTTCTACCACCGCTGCGTTTGTTTCAGTTGTTTTTTTTTAGTAAATATGTGACGCAAGATCCTGTGTATATAAATAAGGAGGTTTCCTCTTATGCTGAACAAGTCTGGCACTGCTTTTGTGAGAGGAAAGGGTTTATTTGCATATTCAAGAGGAAATATTGAGAACTTGTACATTGAGTATTTTCAATGTACAGTAACGGACTCTGGCTTTGAATGGGAGATGTGTTGTGGAGTATTTTCTCAGTGTGGCATCAGAAAAACTAATTCAGAGCAGACACCTGACGTCTGAGCTGTGGCCATTCGTGCATTGTTCTTTCACTGCAGTTGTCCTGTTGGCCTTTATTTGGGCTGATTAAAGCTCCATGTGATCTGATTGAGACAAAGCTGTCCATAATTTTCCCTCCCACGTATGGAAACAATATCAACGACGGAGTTACCTCCCAAACACACTAGTGCATACAAAAAAACAAGTTTAGGGCCTTCAATGGTATTCATCAATGTCAGCTCTGTTGGGACCTGCTCATAGTAGATTGGATCTTAGGAGGCTATTGCTGCAATATGGGCGACTGTGGGTGAGTGGGGGAACACGGTCGTCCTCCAATCAGAGGGTTGTCGGTTTGATCCCAGGCCCGGCTAACCCGCATGTCGATGTGTCCTTGGGCAAGACACTTAACCCAACATTGCTCCTGTAGCTGCGACTACAGTGTGTGAATGTTAGTGACTGTTGGGCAGGTGTCACTGTGTGTGGTTCTCCTGTCATCAGTGTATGAATGGGTGTGAATGGGTGAATGATGTCATGTAGTGTTAAAGCGCTTTGAGTGGTCGGAAGACTAGAAAAGCGCTATACAAGTACAGACCATTTACCAATATTCATAAACAAGGCATATAGGGTTTCTGCTTTTAGACCTCCTAGAGATCTAATGCAGTGTTGATGCAGGACCTGAGCCTCCGATCATCAGGAGTGATCTCTACAGTACACAGCTATACACTGTATTATTACCTTGAAAGAGGATGTTTTCATCCAGTGTGGTCTGTTCTGTTTACCTCAAACTATAAAAATATATGTATTTTTTTTTTTTTTACCGTCGGTCGTTTCCACTTGACCCCGGCCTGCATCTCCAGCTCCCCCACGGGGAAGTGGTGGTCCACGAACAGCCCGTCCCGGCCGAGCGAGTCGACCTCCGCGCTCTCCTTCCGCGCATCTCCGTCCGTCAGGAGGTCCGCGAGCCAGCGGCGGGACTGAGAGCCGAGCAGCTCGTCGGAGCAGACCGAGTCCACGAAGTCGTCCTCCGGCGGGGGGAGGGAGCTTTCGGACGATGTACTCAGCGACTTAATCATGGCGGAAAATCTGTTATGTCCTCGGAAAGGGAGTTAAGGACTTCGTGACTTCCACATCAACACCACAAAGAAGCCGCGCCCTGTTTGGAAGTTACACAGGTAGACGCTCACCTGAAAGCGAGGCGACAGAGTGGGCGGGGCTGAATTTTACAGTCAAAGTACGTACGGTTCCGTATGTGGAACCGTACGTATTATGCAAACAAAAATCTAGTTTGTAAGTTAAAATATATAAACTGAGAATAAATTGTTAATTTTGCTCATGAAACAAGACTTTTTGGCTGCATAATAAAGACACAACCCTTCATAGTACCTGGCCACCTATTCTGCCACTGTAATAAAATAAACTCATGACATCCCATCTTATAATTATGACTGTCTACTGTCTCCCTCTAGGTCCTAATCGCCACCCCAACATGAATATACTGGTGTAGTGTTGCTACTTTCAATGACAGAAAAGTACTAACCAGGTTACCACAACCTTCTAGGATCTGACCTTCACATTTGACCTTATTTGAAGGCTTTTAAGCCTAGTTTATGATTCTGTGTTTTCAGAGAAACGCAAGGACACGCAGGAGCCCGTTGAGTGCCTTTTCACCCTTACAAGCCTGTAACCCATCAATGGCGGACTATAAGGACGCGCAGATGGCCTCCGATTCACAGAGGGCGATCTCTGCATACGTCGGTTTGCCAGTCGAGGGGAACAAAGTTGTGGAGGAAAATACGGGACAAATATATCCGTGAAAAAAAGGCGATGAAAAGCAGCAGTGGTGATGCACGGGGCAAACAAGTCTCTGATAAATAAACAAACAAACCAACGACTTCCACACACAAAGACGCCTCTCTCTAGGTCAGGTTACTCCACCTGTTGTTCTGGCGGTGAATTGCTTTGCCACATGCGCAACCTTTTTTGAACCATGAATTGAAACGAGTGCGTCGGCACGACTGCGCGTAACAGGCTCATTGTTGGGAATAGGAAGATGCATTTCACACCCAGAGGTGTCAAGTAACGAAGTACATATACTTCGTTACTGTACTTAAGTAGAAATTTGGGGTATCTATACTTTACTGGAGTATTTCTTTTTCAGACGACGTTTTACTTCTACTCCTTACATTTTCACGCATATATGTGTACTTTCTAGGCCTACTCCTTACATTTTAAAAACAGCCTCGTTACTTCCGGCTTGTCGTAGTTCAAAAACACCAACACAAAACCCCCATCTAAATCGCGCTATCCGGACAGTGAATTTGATTGTGTTTGGATGAGAATATAAACATTTAGCATCCAGACACAGTTGGTTTTCTCCGCGATGCGCCGGCAGATCGGAGCGACACCGGGTGGGAAAAGTGGTCGTTGGAAAGTTGGTATTTAGCGATGGACCCTCCTCTTCCTCCTCCTCTTCCTCACGCAGATTCTATGTAACGTTAAATGAGTATCTTCATGTCCGTGGGTTTGTCCTAAATGTTTTATTGAGTCTGGCACAACTAAGTGACTTGCAAGCAGCGTATTAAATAAAGTGATGTGTGTCTTAATGCGGCTTTGCAAATGAACACAAAGAGATTCTGTATTTGCGCCTGAAAATACTGGTTATGATGTGATCTGCAGGCACCTTCTGATCACATCACGGACTGACGTGTTGTGTGAGCGAGGTTACGCATTAAGAGTTTGTCCTTAATGGAATATCTTACATTACTTTTACACTTTAAGTAGTTTTGAAACCAGTACTTTTACTTAAGTAAAAAGCTTGCGTCGATACTTCAACTTCTACAGGAGTCTTTTTAAACCCTAGTATCTGTACTTCTACTTGAGTAATTAATGTGAATACTTTTGACACCTTTGTTCACACCCAACATGATGATCCAGCAGTAGCATTGTGCTATTGGAGTAAGCTTAACAAGGATGTCAAAATCTCAAATTTAAATTATCATGTTAATTCCTAAAAATGAACAACCTTCTTATTAAGGCAACTCACACACGGACACAAGCTGTACGGGATAAATTACTTTTATTGACTGATTATGAAAAATAATGACCTGGTTGAATCTGTCTTACCAAATGTTTGTGTGTGTGTGTGTGTGTGTGTGTGTGTGTGTGTGTGTGTGTGTGTGTGTGTGTGTGTGTGTGTGTTTGCATCACTGAGATGTAGCCATGATACTGGATACACCTGCAAATAGAAAACCAGACAAGACAAAAGAGGAAAAAAATGAATTTACAGTTCCTCATTAATATATACTCATTGATGGTAATATGGTGCTCATACATGACAAAAGTGTCAAATTCAAAAGTTTGTCAACAGTAACAAACAGTAGCGGTAAAAGTGAGTCAGGAGAACTATAAGTGAATTTTTTTTTTTAAACAAATTGCTAAATGCAAAGGAGTTCTGTTCAATGACTTGCAACATAAGCCAATTTAGACCAATGTCCTTCTGAAATGTATTTCTAAAGTTAACAGATATAACGTGGATTCAGCTATTGTTAACATTATTCATTAACTTGGTGTTTTTATTAAATGGTAAGGGAAACACTGCAATAAGCGACTCACTCTCAAAGTCGATCTTCTCCACTATGTTCTTGGGCTTGACGCTCTCCTCCTGGTTGAAGACAAATATTTGTCCCTCCTCGTTCTCTGTCCAGCCGTACTTGTTCATCCACACCTTTACCTGCGTGTCTGCACAGAGGTTGACAAGACAGCGGGTTTAGCAGTTTACTCAGATTTTAGAATGAGTTCATTGAACTTTCTGGCAGTTCTGAGTTGCGCCACACTTCTTACCGAGCGGATCTCCCAGCATCTCAGCCAGTAACCGGTGCTCGATGGTCTGGTAGGTGATGCCCACCACGTGGCAGATGACTGGAGAAGAAGAACAACTATAAGAAACAGACTCCCGATGGGGCAGTACCCTCTAAGGATGAGCAGTATAGATGACGGACTGTGCTGATGATGTTTGCACACGTGGCTGTTTCTTGTTAGCTTTCAATAACTGGTAGTATTTAGTGTTCGGGCTTAAGAGTCCGCAGAGGACAACACTCACATTTGCGAACGGAGTCCTCGAAACCGGTAATGCCATCGATGAGCTCTCTGTTCTCTTCAAGACTCGTCTGTCAGAGGAGGAAGACACAAAAAACAGACTATCACAACTTTGAAACAAAAAGGAAAACAAAAAGACCTCCGAACAAAGTGTTCCCTTTCATTTCTCATGTTGTTAAAAAACTCGATGATGTCATTTCACTATTGAGTGTCAGTGTGGGTGTCTGCTTCTTGTACCCAGAAGCTCTGGAAGTGACATGTCTCCAGCAGGTTCCCCAGGTAGAGGATCTGTCTTATCGGACGCTCCTCTTGCTGCGACACTGTAGTCAAGGAAATGCCACCCGACCAGAGACAGAAGAACATCCGCCCGCCCCACCCGCCCCAAGATCTATTAAAGCACTCTCCCACAGACTGACACCGGGAGCATTGTTACTTAAAGTGAGGAATACTTCGAGCTTCTAAATACATCTTTATCATATCCCGGGTATCAATGTGAATAAATATAGATTCACAGAATTTCAAAAAATGGGGCTCTTGGTCAGAAAGCTCAATGCTTCCCTGACCCAACACCACCTGCACTTCACTTTGACTTAACAGCCCAACCATATTGGTCAGTGCCGCCCAGTACAGACCTATGAGACATCAGTGAATGGGAGCTACAAAGGGTTCAACAGTCAGAAGACCTCAGATGGCTCAAAGGGCACCAAAAGGATACGTGTGTCTGGTCGATCATACACTTGCACAGAGTGAAGTCGGTGTGTGGCAGGTTGGTCAGGGCCTTCAGCAGGATCTGTGAGGTCACCTGAGTCTGGAAGTACGCTGGGTTGAACTGGTACCTACGGAGGAACATATTTATTTACATCATGGTTTTTCTGGTCTGCGGTGGAAACAGGCATTGAAACTATTACGTTTCAATCAATGAATCTACAGATTATGCTACACATTAGTCGGTTGATAGAACAGCTAGAAAACGATTGTCTGATGAATATTTTATTCAATCTCTTCCACCAGCAAACAGATTTCCCAAATTCCCACAGCGCATTGGCACCTCTAAATGCTTTCAGATTTAACGGGTCTGTTCAACATGTATTTGAAGGAAGGCTGGTGTGACTTACAGCTTTAAGACAGCCAGGTTAGCCTCCAGGTCGTAAGCGTTCTCCTTGGCTTGCGTCTCCACGTAGCGCTCCAACGTTGGGAGGTTTTCTGGATTGTACCTGTGAACGGAGACAAGCGCATTCATTACCCATCAAGCAAGTGTGGATGACAAAGTGTTTTTTGTGTCGTGGATATACTCTTAGCACTGCAGGTTGGACATTTTCAGTATGGTGTTATCTAGCATATGTAGTCAAATGTTTTGCCATTCACTGATTGTAACAGGTGAACAAATACATGTATATTTTAAGGGTGTGCTGCAGAAAATTCTCTGCAAGATATTTTACCCACTTATCTCTTTTGTGATTACATTTTTGTGAATATGATGTTCCGCCAAAGTTCTTTATGTAATTTCAGGAATAGACCTAGAGAACTCTTTGTTGCCGTTATTAAAAAAGACAGGGTCATTGGCACGATGAACCATGTAAGAATTGGTTAACGACAGGTTCGTTAAGGGTGAGTCATATTGAGCAGGTAACATCTGTGAAAAGGGAAACTGAATCTTAACAACCCAAAGCCACGTAACGTTAAGAAAGTAATTAAGACGAATATAGGTTGATATCTTTAGCTTAGTACAAACATACCCCCCCCCCCTTTTTTTAACTACGGAAGGCCAAATACGAACATGATTTATTTGGCGTTGCCTTTTCTTTAAAGAAAATGTTCTTTAATCTGACTTTTCTGTAAATATAGATAATTTTGTAATCGAAGACCATATGGCCATTCAATCATAAAAAACATAACACAGATGTCGACATTTTTAAATAACGTTAGATACGTTTTATATAAACGAATCGAATTCAAACAAAGTGTCATAAGACATGTCATTACAATGGGAAAATGTATGCAAATCTTCTGAGCAAAGCTTGCTAACATTAGCTGCTATTTTAGCGTGTTCATAGGACAATAACAATGATCATATTGGCATTGGACAAACAAAAAT